TGCGGTGTGGGGGGGTTTCCAGGCAGCAGGCTGGGGTGCGAGGTCTGGGAGGGGGCCGGGGGTGCAGCAGGGGGCGGGGATGTGGGTCTGGGCTGAAGGAGGGTGCAGGAGGGATCAAGGGGACGGGGGCTCCAACCTGGCCCAGCTCCCTGGGGGTGGGGACACTGGTTGCTCCACGGGGCTCTGTCAGTTTTCCAAGTCAAGGGAGGTATCGAGTGGGGTCCCCCCAGGTCTGACCTGGGACCCGTCCTAGTCAGCCTATGTGTGAATGAGCTGGAAAAAGGGGTGAGCAGGGAGGCGGCAAAATGTGCAGATGACACCACAGTGCTCAAGATAGTCACGCCCAAAGCACATTAATTGCGTGCGCTGCACCCTTGCAATGCTGCGGCAGCGGGCCCAGCTCCACGCAGTGCTGCCCCTGTGAAGCACCAGAGCAGCACATCAAAGGGACAGCATAAAATGGAGCTGGGGGCCAGCTGGGGACTGGGCTCTGTGTGGTGCTGCTGCTTTTCAACGTAGAAAAGAGGAGACTAAGGGGGACAGGACAGAGATCTAAAAAATCATGACAGGTGAGGAGAAAGTGAATAAGGAAAAGTGTTTGACTTGCTCCCATAATGTAAAAACTAGGGGTCACCAAATGACATGAATGAGTAGAAGGTTTAAAACAAAGCAAAGGAAGTTTTTCTTCACACAGCACACAACCTGTGGAACTCCTTGCCAGAGGATGCAGTGACGTCCAGGACTCAAAAAAGAACTTGATACATTTATAGAGGACATGTCAATCAATGGCTGTTAGCCAGGCTAGGCATGGAGGGTGGCCCCAGCCTCTGTGTGTCAGAGGCTGGGAATGGGTGACAGGGGAGGGAGTGAAGAGTCCCCGTCCTCCATTTTGAGCTGGATTTGCTGGGTCAGAGTGGAGCAGAGATGAGGAGAGAGCAGACCCGAGCTGAGCTGGGCCAGCCAGAGAGAGCCAGAAAGCAGCCCACGCCGTGCAGCAGAGAGGAGCCTAGGGCGGGAGCAGCAGGGAGGAGCAGGGGGACCAGCGCAGGGGACCCCACCACCCGAGGGGCCTGGAGGCCAGACTGGGAGAAGGGTCCCACCCCCCAGTGCAGGCATCTGCCCGGCAGCATCCCTGAAGCAGCCAGGGCCTGAGGCAGAGGCCTGGGCCCTCCCGGGAGCAGCTGGGGACCCACCCTGCCATGGCAGAGATGCCGTGTGAGGGTCCCTGGCGCAGGGTGGGGGGTGGGTCTTCCAGACACTTTTTCCATTTTCTCCCTGGTCTCTTCCTGGTGAGTGACTGGCCCTCGCTGTGACTGTCGGCCCTGGTCAGTGGGGCAAGGACACCCCCAGTGAGGGGGCACCTTGGCCTCTATCCTGTGGGGCCACAACAAGGGGGGGGGCCAACCCACCCCTCCAGGAGCCCTTGCCCAGCTGTGTGGGGGTGACGAGGACTCAGCCTGGCAGAGGGGCTGTGAGGCCAGGGAGGCCTCTGGGCAAAGGGAGCAGGAGGGGACTCAGACCCTGTCACTGGCCCACGGCACCAGGGTCGGGCAGGAGGCAGGGAAGGGTCCCTTGAGCAGGGCCGTACCCTCCCCCCGTACACAGGGAGCGCAGGACTTTCCCCGCAAAGCACCGACAGGGCGGACACGGTCCCTGCAGCAGAGGCGACAGCCCCACGGCTCCCGGGCCAGGTGGGCAGCTGGCTCTGTGCTCCTAGTGAGCTACCCAGGCTGCAGGCACAGGGCAGGCAGCAGCTGAGTCTGACCTGAGGGCTGGGACAGGCCAGGAGCAGGCTGGGAATTATCCCAACACTGAAACAAAGCGGGGACGTTGGTGGGCGGGGAGAGACACCTCTGGGGGCCAGAGGGCGGCACGTCCCCAGGGCAGGGGCAGAACCCTCCTGCTGAGCGAAATCTGAACATCCTCGTCTCTCTGCTTCCCTCCTAGGGGCCGGCACTAGTTTGCAGTGCAAGGTGGGTTTGTCTCCCTGCTGCCTCTGATGTCCCAGGGTCTGCTGTTGGTCAAGTCCCTTCTCTCTTCCCCTCCCTCCCCTCCCCTGGGAACTGTCTGCCCCTGCCTGGAAAAGGCAGCGAGTGGTGACAGCCAATCTCCTGTCCAGCCTGCAGAGTCTGGTGTCTCTGTATGCAGCCAGGGAATATGAACGGAGGAGGCAGGACGGCGTCTCTCCTGCAGGCAATTTGACTCTACCGTGTGACTTACCGGGGTGTGCAGGTAAAGAAAAGGGCTCCTGGGGGTCAATGGCCCTGACTTAGTTAGGTAGCAAGGTTGGGGTGCATGAGCCAGCCCAGCTCTCCATCTCCAGACTCACAGGGCAGGTGTTAGCGAGAGCGCTAGCAGGGGTTCGGTAACATTCTCTGTCCTTGGGCAGGTGGAAACACCAATAAGGTTTAATAAGGGTGAAACACTGGGATAAGTTGCCCAGGGCGGTTGTGGAGGCTCCATCCCTGGAGATATGTCAGAGCAGGCTGGACAGACGCCTGCCAGGGATGGGCCAGACAGTGCTGGGTCCTGCCGTGAGGGCCGGGGACTGGACTGATGACCCCTCGAGGTTCTAGTGTTCTATGATTCTATGGAGGTTGCGTGTGGATGCGCACCCACCAGTACATGCAAAAACCTGAGCTATGAATATATATTTGAAATAGTCACCTGTAAGATACAAGGGGTGACTCCCCCGTCATTGTCTGAGCTCTAACCTCCTATTTGACTTGACTCGCAGGCAGAGGGGGGCTGCGTCAGGTCACGAGCCGCCAGTCCGCTGTCCGTGCACATCGTGTTTCGTGGGATCTCTCATGACATTCCACGCCCAGTGTTGCAAAGAAGACGTTTAGCTTTCTGGAAACTTTAACTGCAGCCCAGGTGTCCCGACTGTCGTCCACACCTTCTGCTGGACTGGGGCTACACTGAGATGTGGTGCGACAGTGGGGTAGCCATGACATTCTCCTGCTCACTCTGTTGACCTGCTGTCTGGCTCCCGTACCCCTGCCTGAGCACTGCTGTCCCCACCCTGCGGCATTTCGGGAGCTGGGCATGGTTCATCTAGGGCACCGGCTGCTGGCAGCTTGCCTAGGGCTGCCCCTGTTTGAGAGGGAGGCTGCGGTTGCCAGAGGAGTTTTCCTGGGAGCAGGTTGTGGCTCTGCTCGCTGGCTGGTGTGTGGAGTGTAAAGGAATCAGTTGAACCTAAGAAAACACACACTAGATCAGAAGGGGCTAACTCCACTCTGAGGGAGGGATAAAAGAGGGCTACTCAGGGCAGATGGAGCTGACCACAGAGGGGAAGAAGCTCAGGCAGGAGCTACTGAACAGCCCCTGCAGCCGCCCCCGGAGCAGCACCATTCACAGACTGGGACTGACCGCCAGGCCGCACACAGAGGACACCACTGCACGTACCACGTGTTACGCGCTTCTCACGTACCGTGGCTGGGAATGGAAATGTTCATACCCCCGCGTGCTAATCCCAGACAAACCCTGTTCAAACATCACCGGGCTCCTGTAATAACCCCCAACACCAGGTGTTCCTGTCAGGGCTGCTCCCACTCTGAGTGCAGAAGGTGGATGCCTACAAGAGACCTTACAGATACCTCACCTCTATCAGCTTCTGCTTCACAGGTGCCCTTTTCTTCTTGAACTTGGAACTTCTTCCAGAGGGGTCCCCCAAACACTTTTACCACCAGAGAGCTGCAAGAATCAAACAAACAAACAGGAGAAAACAAACGAGGGAAAAACAAACAAACAAGAGAGAATAAACTACGCTCTTTGACAGCTGAGCTCTCATCTGGGGCAGGCACACACAGACCTCCTCTTGCCTTCCAGGACACCAGAATCAAATCATCACCTTCAAAAAGGTGATTTTATTAACCAAACAAAAAAGCAGACGTGGTTGCTAGCTGCTTTAACACAACTGAGAGAAGAATAAACACAGAGAACTGACAGAATAAACTGACAGAATAAACACAGAGAACTGTATCCCTGGGATTCAGCTTTAAATTTATACTGCATGGGGGAGGGGGAGGCACAGTTACACAGAGGAGTTTCACCAAACAATAAAACAAAGAAAATAACTTGATTGTGTCTAAATAGACGTTCCTTATCTACTTACATCTCCGTGCTTCAAGATCCAGTCCATTTCTATGCCCGGGTATTTCTTTTTTAGGCATGGTATTCTTGCCCAGTTCAATGCACCTTTCCTCCCAACCCTTAGGCTCCTGGCTCCTGGCTCCTTGCCAGCATCTCCTAGCTACCCGAGTTTAACACTTTAGTCACCGAATGCTCGGATGTCCAGAAAAGAACAGCACTCCTCCTCCTGTTCCTGACACACCTCCAGATCAGCTACTAGAAGTGGGCCTCATCCTCCCTGATTGGATCCACCTCATCATCTCCAGCCTGATCCTGGCCTGCATATTTATACCTGCCTCTGGAAATTTCCACTACATGCATCTGACGAAGTGGGTCTTTGCCCACGAAAGCTTATGCTCCTACACTTCAGTTAGTCTATAAGGTGCCACAGGACTCCTCGCCACTCCTCCTCCTGTCCATCACAATCTCTCACGGCTTCTTTAACTTTCTTGTTAAGCCCCAGTGGCACTTTTCTGGTTCTCTTACCGTGCTTTTTAGTTTGGGGCATATGTTGAAGTTAGGCCTCTGTTATGGTGTCTGAAAAATTTCCATGCAGCTTGCAGGGATTTTACTTTTGTCACTGGACCTTTTAATTTATGTTCAATTAACCCCCTCATTTTTGTGTAGCTCCCCTTTCTGAAGTTAAAAGTTACCATGTTGGGCTGCTCTGCCTCGCTTCCCGCCCAGCACTATTCTTTTTATATTAACCCTTCACAATCTGATCTGGCTTCAGCTTTCTCTGGGACTCTCTTTTAAATGTCAGACCATGGATGATCTCCTGGCTAAGCCAGGGTGGTCTCTTGCCAGACTTCCTATCTGTCCCATGCAGTGGGTTAGTTTGCTCTCGTGCCCTTAATAATGTCCCTTTGAAAAATGGCCAGCTTTCTACAATTGTGTGTGTTGGGGAAAGTCTGCCTGCTTGGAACCCACGACCTCAGTTCTTCAGTTTTCCCTCCGCCCGTTCCTTACAATCACAAACGCTGCCATTTCGAGATCACTTTCACCTGGTCAAATCCCTCCCAGACCGTCCTCGCCCCTCGCTGCTCCCTCCCCCTTCTGCAACAAAACCCTCGTCTCCCCAGGCCCCAGAGGTCCATGTGGGGCAGGAGACCAGGGTGGGAAGAGGAGACACCAGGGGGCTGGGAGATCCCAGGCGGGAGAGAGACCGAGGAGAGGGGGGTGCACTATGGAGGAGCAGGGATGAGGACAGGCCCTGGGGTAAGACCTCAGCGCGGGTGCTGGTGCTGGGGAGAGGCTGCACCTGTCTCTGTTTCCCAGGGCCGGGGGGCCTGTGGTTTGTGCCGGCTCCTCACAGGAACGTTACTTTGGGGGCTGGGCCGGGCTGGGGTACGCGGCTGGGCTGAGCGTTTCCTGCGTTCTCACGGCTGCGGG